CCACCACCACATGTGGTTATGTTTGATTGTGTCCACCACCACATGTGGTTATGTTTGATTGTGTCCACCACCACATGTGGTTTGATTGTGTCCACCACCTCATGTGGTTTGATTGTGTCCACCACCACATGTGGTTATGTTTGATTGTGTCCACCACCACATGTGGTTTGATTGTGTCCACCACCACATGTGGTTTGATTGTGTCCACCACCACATGTGGTATGATTGTGTCCACCACACGTGGTTATGTTTGATTGTGTCCACCACCACATGTGGTTTGATTGTGTCCACCACCACATGTGGTTATGTCTGATTGTGTCCACCACCACATGTGGTTTGATTGTGTCCACCACCACATGTGGTTATGTTTGATTGTGTCCACCACCACATGTGGTTATGTTTGATTGTGTCCACCACCACATGTGGTTGTGTTTGATTGTGTCCACCACATGTGGTTATGTTTGATTGTGTCCACCACATGTGGTTATGTTTGATTGTGTCCACCACATGTGGTTATGTTTGATTGTGTCCACCACCACATGTGGTTTGATTGTGTCCACCACATGTGGTTATGTTTGATTGTGTCCACCACCACATGTGGTTTGATTGTGTCCACCACATGTGGTTATGTTTGATTGTGTCCACCACCACATGTGGTTATGTTTGATTGTGTCCACCACCACATGTGGTTATGTTTGTGTCCACCACATGTGGTTATGTTTGATTGTGTCCACCACCACATGTGGTTTGATTGTGTCCACCACATGTGGTTATGTTTGATTGTGTCCACCACCACATGTGGTTTGATTGTGTCCACCACATGTGGTTATGTTTGATTGTGTCCACCACCACATGTGGTTTCATTGTGTCTACCACCACATGTGGTTATGTTTTATTGTGTCCACCACCACATGTGGTTTGATTGTGTCCACCACCACATGTGGTTATGTTTGATTGTGTCCACCACCACATGTGGTTTGATTGTGTCCACCACCACATGTGGTTATGTTTGATTGTGTCCACCACCACATGTGGTTTGATTGTGTCCACCACCACATGTGGTTTGATTGTGTCCACCACCACATGTGGTTATGTTTGATTGTGTCCACCACCACATGTGGTTATGTTTGATTGTGTCCACCACCACATGTGGTTATGTTTGATTGTGTCCACCACCACATGTGGTTATGTTTGATTGTGTCCACCACCACATGTGGTTATGTTTGATTGTGTCCACCACCACATGTGGTTATGTTTGATTGTGTCCACCACCACATGTGGTTATGTTTGATTGTGTCCACCACCACATGTGGTTATGTTTGATTGTGTCCACCACCACATGTGGTTTGATTGTGTCCACCACCTCATGTGGTTTGATTGTGTCCACCACCACATGTGGTTATGTTTGATTGTGTCCACCACCACATGTGGTTTGATTGTGTCCACCACCACATGTGGTTTGATTGTGTCCACCACCACATGTGGTATGATTGTGTCCACCACACGTGGTTATGTTTGATTGTGTCCACCACCACATGTGGTTTGATTGTGTACACCACCACATGTGGTTATGTTTGATTGTGTCCACCACCACAGGAGTAGACGGCATCATGTTACAAGACGTATGTCCCCGTCAAGACATTTCTCACCGGACACCGCTGGTCGATATATTGTAACCTGAGTGATGCTACATTTAACACGAGGGATGTGTCAGGGGGGCGCTAATGTTTTATCTAACTCAGGCACGGGGCGCTAATGTTTTATCTAAGGCACGGGGCGCTAATGTTTTATTTAAGGCACGGGGCGCTAATGTTTTATCTAAGGAACGGGGCGCTAATGTTTTATCTAAGGCACGGGGCGCTAATGTTTTATCTAAGGCACGGGGCGCTAATGTTTTATCTAACTCAGGCACGGGGCGGGGCGCTAATGTTTTATCTAAGGCACGGGGCGCTAATGTTTTATCTAAGGCACGGGGCGCTAATGTTTTATCTAAGGCACGGGGCGCTAATGTTTGATCTAACTCAGGCACGGGGCGCTAATGTTTTATCTAACTCAGGCACGGGGCGGGGCGCTAATGTTTTATCTAAGGCACGGGGCGCTAATGTTTTATCTAAGGCACGGGGCGCTAATGTTTTATCTAACTCAGGCACGGGGCGCTAATGTTTTATCTAACTCAGGCACGGGGCGCTAATGTTTTATCTAACTCAGGCACGGGGCGCTAATGTTTTATCTAACTCAGGCACGGGGTGGGGCGCTAATGTTTTATCTAACTCAGGCACGGGGCGCTAATGTTTTATCTAAGGCACGGGGCGCTAATGTTTGATCTAACTCAGGCACGGGGCGCTAATGTTTTATCTAAGGCACGGGGCGCTAATGTTTTATCTAACTCAGGTCGAGGAGATTTAATACAGACTAATGCCGCTTGTTTTCTCTTGAAGCTAATGATGGGTCGCTGATATCAGAGCTTTGTATGGTCAATGACCAAGTTGTATGACAGAAGCAAATAGACACAAGTCTGGCCGTTTTTGCTATACTTCTTTTGAAATATTTCGTTCTTGAAAACAAAAGGATGTACAATCGTTTAATTATAGGGACATTCATCTTTCAATGTGCACCTGATAAAACTATCAACGTGTGGGGAGAGATGTCACTTTTCTGTTGAGCGGTGGTGGTTGTCACTTCTCACATGGATTGTGTCCACACTGACTGAAACTCTCAAGACATCCTTTGTTAGACGTGTCTGTACCTCGGGGTGTTGGTGTCGGCACTGGACAACCATTCACTCCCAGACCAACCATTTCTTTCTTTAAGCTCTCTGCTGTACATTAGTGTAACAACATGAATTCTCTGTTGTTGTGGGTTAGCTTTCATACAGGAACACGAGTATCAGTGGCAACTTCAAATGACAACTTTATTTACACTATGTACAGATAAATCCGTGGTACATCCATATTTGAAGATCAACTGATATAGGTACAAATAATAATCACGACTCCAAGTCATGGAGACATCTTACATTCACTGCCATCGTTCCAGTCCCAAGTCCTAGCACACAACACCCGTTCACCTTTCGCTCTCTCTTTTATTCACCACTTTCTCTCCCCTTACGTCAATGAGCAATCTCACCCAAAACACGGAAAAACACATGACGATCGCTCAGACAGTCCTTCCGCTAGCCAGGTACTCTTCATTCATGCAAAACACAATATAATAAAGATACATAATAATACAGTCTGTGACACGTCCCCCCTTCGAATAAAATTTTGTGTAACAAAATTTATAAATACAATATTAGTAGGGCAGGATCATGTGCCAGACAACAAAAAATTGTGTACAACTCAAAGTAGAGTAAAATATATTCATTTTAGACTAAGCACTTGTAGTCATAAATTTATAGTGCATACAAATACAACAGTATGTAGTGACTATATCAGTGATAATTAAAATATGTCAGTGTTTTGAACAAAAACTTTAAATGTACAAGCATTATATGTAATATTTAATGCATCAATATACATTCACATAGGAGAAAAAAAACATTTCAATTACCCAGTAACTGTAGTATAAACAAGACAAATGAGTTTAATAAATTACCAAACTAGTCTGATACATGACCTTATTACCAAAACATAATACATAGTTGAAATTATCAAAGACTTAATTCAACTCCTAATTTAAATAACTATATCCTATGTGGTAAAAAAACTTCCTTATCATCAAGGTATGTTATTACCACGCATGAGTAATATACTTTGTTGTCTCCCCTATTTGACCCATTTCAGACACATCTAGGTCACAACACAACCACATTCTTGCCTTTCACAGGTATCGACTGATACAATTCATCATTGAGACTTCCGTCTTATTGTTATGCGGAATAAATAGTCTCTAACTTTTACTTGATTTACTTTATTCACTGTTAATTAATAGTATAGAATAGGTTTAACATAATACAGTTTACATTCTTTAGATATAGTACACAATTTATGTTTACTCAAACACATTATTTGATATTTATATATTACAGTTACAGACTGTATAATATTAATAAACTGTCAATTGATAATTTATCTTAGCATCCTCTATAGCATGAGTAATCGTTCTCGTGCAGTTCATCTTCATCTTCTTAATGCCTAGATCCCTCGCCATTTCCATATATTCTTCTAGTCTTGACATCTTGACCATCGGAATGTCGAGCTCCTTCATTAGCTCTTTATAATATGTACGACTTGACATTTTGATATATTTTCTATTACATAAGATATAAATTCATTAGTTGACAATAGATAAATGTTAATTAATTTACAATACCCTTTCTTGGTTTCTGGCTTGTTTTAGTTGATTACAGACATCTGGTAATCCAAGAAAAGTTCATAGTACATATATACGTCCAAAAATAGTTCACTTTGTTGATTCCAAAAAGTTGAAAAAAATTCAAAATAGTTCTAGTAGCCTGTTACAGAGTAGAAATTTGTCCAGTTTTAGATAAGACATCTTTAGGAACAGTTTAGGAACAGTTACAAAAATAAACTTGATCTGCTAAATCCAAACAGTAGAAAAACTTGAACAGCTAATCCATATAGAAAAAACTTGAACAGCTAAATCCAAACAGTAGAAAAGAAACACTAAGACTTGATCGGCTAAATCCAAACAGAAAAAACACACAGACGATATTTACTCGACATTGGTGAGACAATATCGAAATAAGGTGATAAAAATTATCACGTTGATGACTTGACTTGAACAAAACGTCTGACTTGACTACAGCAACCCTTCTGACTTGAGTGTAGATAGATGACTTTCAAGAACTTGACGTACTTGGTAAACAGTGGAAGACCACAGACTGTAATATCTCCATTTCTGACATATGTAGCACCAATTCTTCAACCACTTGTGACATCATAAGTAACAGTAATACAATGTAGCAACATCACTTTATTGCCTCCACTTCTGACACCATAGCAACGGGTGTTGCCCCCACTTCTGACACCATATGTAACAACATGAATTCTCTGTTGTTGTGGGTTAGCTTTCATACAGGAACACGAGTATCAGTGGCAACTTCAAATGACAACTTTATTTACACTATGTACAGATAAATCCGTGGTACATCCATATTTGAAGATCAACTGATATAGGTACAAATAATAATCACGACTCCAAGTCATGGAGACATCTTACATTCACTGCCATCGTTCCAGTCCCAAGTCCTAGCACACAACACCCGTTCACCTTTCGCTCTCTCTTTTATTCACCACTTTCTCTCCCCTTACGTCAATGAGCAATCTCACCCAAAACACGGAAAAACACATGACGATCGCTCAGACAGTCCTTCCGCTAGCCAGGTACTCTTCATTCATGCAAAACACAATATAATAAAGATACATAATAATACAGTCTGTGACAATTAGTTTAAGCTCTCTGCCTGTACATTAGTTTAAGCTCTCTGCCTGTACATTAGTTTAAGCTCTCTGCTGTACCTTAGTTTAAGCTCTCTGCCTTCACATTAGTTAAGCTCTCTGCCTTCACATTAGTTTAAGCTCTCTGTCTGTACATTAGTTTAAGCTCTCTGCTGTACATTAGTTTAAGCTCTCTGCCTGTACATTAGTTTAAGCTCTCTGCTGTACCTTAGTTTAAGCTCTCTGCTGTACTTTAGTTTAAGCTCTCTGCCTGTACATTAGTTTAAGCTCTCTGCTGTACATTAGTTTAAGCTCTCTGCCTGTACATTAGTTTAAGCTCTCTGCCTGTACATTAGTTTAAGCTCTCTGCTGTACCTTAGTTTAAGCTCTCTGCTGTACCTTAGTTTAAGCTCTCTGCCTGTACATTAGTTTAAGCTCTCTGCCTGTATATTAGTTTAAGCTCCCTGCCTGTACATTAGTTTAAGCTCTCTGCCTGTACATTAGTTTAAGCTCTCTGCTGTACATTAGTTTAAGCTCTCTGCCTGTACATTAGTTTAAGCTCTCTGCCTGTACATTAGTTTAAGCTCTCTGCCTGTACATTAGTTTAAGCTCTCTGCTTGTACATTAGTTTAAGCTCTCTGCCTGTACATTAGTTTAAGCTCTCTGCCTGTACATTAGTTTAAGCTCCATGCCTGTACATTAGTTTAAGCTCCCTGCCTGTACATTAGTTTAAGCTCCATGCCTGTACATTAGTTTAAGCTCCATGCCTGTACATTAGTTTAAGCTCCATGCCTGTACATTAGTTTAAGCTCCATGCCTGTACATTAGTTTAAGCTCCATGCCTGTACATTAGTTTAAGCTCCATGCCTGTACATTAGTTTAAGCTCTCTGCCTGTACATTAGTTTAAGCTCTCTGTCTGTACATTAGTTTAAGCTCTCTGCCTGTACATTAGTTTAAGCTCTGCCTGTACATTAGTTTAAGCTCCCTGCCTGTACATGGCTGCTGTTTTCTCCATTTCAAATTTGAAAATCAATTCTTACAGACGACTTTTTGACATTTTATTTCTCCGCCGTAAGCGCTGTTAAAATTAATTCATTATCAGAAAAAATAAATAAAAGAGAATTGTAAAAATAAGCAGTGAGAAATTCTCGTAGTCCGCACGAAAAAACACTCATTTTAAAACCTTTCTAAAAAAATCAATAAAATCATTTTTGTCACATTTTTTAGTCAAGGAAAAAAATGTTCTGGAAGGCTAGACAAATTCACAGTTAAAATAGATATTTTACTTGTTTATTTTGCAAATTATGATTACAGAATACTATTTTGGGTGTTTTGGTTGGTCTTTGGTTACATATTTTTTTTTTTAAGATGTGGTTGTATTGGATAAGAGATTAATAGGAACGTTTGGCTATTGGCTAACACCATCTGATGTTTGTTCTTCGTTTACATATGCCCAAAAAATATCGGTTGAAACAGCCACTTGGTAAAAAAACTTTAGATTCTAAAGTTTAGAACCAACTTAAAGATGGACCTAACATTGGTGGACGCATCAAACCATTAGTTTTCTAGAGTAAAAGCTAGGTACTATAGCTATTATTCACAGCTCGGCATAGTGGAGTTATGCTACATCTAATAATGGTTGCCCCTTACCCTAGTTGTTGCCCCTTACCCTAGTTGTTGTCCCTTACCCTAGTTGTTGCCCTTACCCTGGTTGTTGCCCCTTACATTGTTGCCCCTTACCCTGATTGTTGCCCCTTACCCCCCTTATCCTGGTTGTTGCCCCTTACCCTGGTTGTTGCCCCTTACCCTGATTGTTGCCCCTTACCCTGATTGTTTCCCCTACCCTAGTTGTTGCCCCTTACTAGGTTGTTGCCCCTTACCCCTGTTATCGCTACTTACCCTAGTTGTTGCCCCTTACCCTGATTGTTGCCCCTTACCCTGATTGTTGCCCTTACCCTAGTTGTTGCCCCTACCCTTGTTGTTGCCCCTTACCTGGTTGTTGCCCCTTACCCCTGTTATCGCTCCTTACCCTGATTATCGCCCGTCCTGTAAGCCGTGCCAGCGAGACCCTGAAATTGATTTTTAAATTGGGAATGACTGCCTGGAAGACATGCCTACATTTATCTAGAATAATCTAGATATTACAATGTTTATACCAACATCGGACTAGCAAGTCACATTATAATTGCCTCATCCTTCAAACGCTATTAAAGCACGCCTTCACTACTTTTTAAAATTATAACTTAAAGGTATCATAAATATCTTTTACATGTTAAAAATACCAACGTGACACTCTAATGCCTTTATAAAAGGCAATACTGACCCCCCCCCCCCCCATCAAAGTTGGACAGATGACCAATCTGAACCCCTACAATACATGTGTAAAACACTAACTCGGCCCCCCACCCACCCATACATTGTAGACTAGTCGATGGTTGCTATGTATCAGCCCAATTTTTGTGTAACCAGACGTGTGGAATCACCCGAGTGGACAGTCTTTAGTGTTTAGTGTTAATGCGAGTGGACGGTCTTTAGTGTTGATACGAGTGGACGGTCTTTAGTGTTGATACGAGTGGACGGTCTTTAGTGTTGATACGAGTGGACGGTCTTTAGTGTTGATTGACGGTCTTTAGTGTTGATGCGAGTGGACGGTCTTTAGTGTTGATACGAGTGGACGGTCTTTAGTGTTGATTGACGGTCTTTAGTGTTGATGCGAGTGGACGGTCTTTAGTGTTGATGGACGGTCTTTAGTGTTGATGGACGGTCTTTAGTGTTGATACGAGTGGACGGTCTTTAGTGTTGATGCGAGTGGACGGTCTTTAGTGTTGATGGACGGTCTTTAGTGTTGATACGAGTGGACGGTCTTTAGTGTTGATGGACGGTCTTTAGTGTTGATGGACGGTCTTTAGTGTTGATACGAGTGGACGGTCTTTAGTGTTGATGGACGGTCTTTAGTGTTGATGGACGGTCTTTAGTGTTGATGGACGGTCTTTAGTGTTGATACGAGTGGACGGTCTTTAGTGTTGATACGAGTGGACGGTCTTTAGTGTTGATACGAGTGGACGGTCTTTAGTGTTGATACGAGTGGACGGTCTTTAGTGTTGATGGACGGTCTTTAGTGTCGATGCTTGAAGCTGTTCTGTTCACATGACTGTCCCTAATGGGTCGTCAGACTGGTCGTATATGAGGTAACTGTGTCTTGGTATCGTCTTCTTTATTCTATCTATCAAGTAGAAACTCTATGTAAGTACACTTTTTAACAAAGTATTTTAGTAAACTACCTATTTTCAAATTTTAAGACTACAAACAGTATCTAGACTGTAATTTATTCTCACTAGTCAGTGCTAGCATCTATGTAGCAAGACACTTTTATCTATAGTACTTAGACTACTAAGAACGAAGATAAAAAATATCTCAAGCTGTATTTTGTTAAAGCAGAAATGTATGATAAATAATTAAAAACCTCTGAGTGTTAGCTTATATTAGCAAGGCTAGAATGGTAACTCGATGCTAGACCCTAACTTGGTGCCAACAATGCTAATATTTCTATCCATACAAGATGATGATTTCTGACCTTTGAGCTTTTGAAACTATAACTGGATCAACTCAAGCTTGGTTACCGCCCTAGGGAAATAGTTTTGTCCGACAACACGAGCAGGGGATAGTCGTAACAAATCATTTGTAATTTACATTTAATTAGAAAACTTGTGGCCAAGAAAAAAGTGGGGCCAATATATTTTTCTCTTGTAACAATACTTTATTGATATTCCTCGTCTCGACTCTATTATATTAGTTGAATAGAGAGCTTTTTTGCACATGTTAAATTAGCCGAATGAAGAGGAGTTTGAATGGTAAACGGTCGAAAGGATGACGTTTTTAAAAATGTATCTGTGGACTGTGAAGAGTTGGTGGCTATCGATGGGTATCTGTGTGGCATGATACACTTTTGGCTGTCTGTGTGGCATGATACACTTTTGGCTGTCGATGGGTGTCTGTGTGGCATGATACACTTTTGGCTGTCTGTGTGGCATGATACACTTTTGGCTGTCTGTGTGGCATGATACACTTTTGGCTGTCTGTGTGGCATGATACACTTTTGGCTGTCGATGGGTATCTGTGTGGCATGATACACTTTTGGCTGTCGATGTGTGTGTGTGTGGCATGATACACTTTTGGCTGTCTGTGTGGCATGATACACTTTTGGCTATCTGTGTGGCATGATACACTTTTGGCTGTCGATGGGTGTCTGTGTGGCATGATACACTTTTGGCTGTCGATGGGTATCTGTGTGACATGATACACTTTTGGCTGTCGATGGGTGTCTGTGTGGCATGATACACTTTTGGCTGTCTGTGTGGCATGATACACTTTTGGCTGTCTGTGTGGCATGATACACTTTTGGCTGTCTGTGTGGCATGATACACTTTTGGCTGTCGATGGGTATCTGTGTGGCATGATACACTTTTGGCTGTCGATGTGTGTGTGTGTGGCATGATACACTTTTGGCTGTCTGTGTGGCATGATACACTTTTGGCTGTCTGTGTGGCATGATACACTTTTGGCTGTCTGTGTGGCACGATACACTTTTGGCTGTCGATGGGTGTA